CTTTTGGCAGCCAAGCAAGGAAACCTTAAAATGCATATGCGTGGGGTCCGTGTGTTATTGTATAAAGAAGCTGTAAGTTGTAAATCTATTCAGATCACTAGATCAGTAGAGAATATAATTGGGATTAGATTAATCGCTGGAATTAGTCAGCATTGCCCAATTCAAGCACTACTACTAAATTCTATAACCAAATTGCAAATTTCGACGTTATAATCCCGTTTCCTGACCATCAGATTTCTGTCAAACCTTCCCCACAAAGTCCAGGAAATGGCATTTCAGAGACCCTAAATTCAAAAATTTTCCGAGGGGCATGCCCCCGGACCCCCCTAGATAAACCTCGCACCTGCGGCGCTCGGTTCGTGCTTTCGTCCCTCGTTTATCAAGCGTTACAATATAGGGGCGCATATTAGTTCATAGCCGACTGGCCCCCCCAGAAAAATAGTACCCAGCACGCCACTGATCAATCAACTTGCTTTGGCCACTGCAATTCTTGCTCGGACACGGAACTCAACAATGTCTGCGGTTGCTTATAGAATATCCAGCTTGTTGGTTCATAGTGGAGCCACTCACCAGGACATAATCCGGCTTAACAAGTTGGGTGTATGTATGTGCCCCAAATCTACAGTTGAAATGCAACGTAAGATGGGTAGGCACTTTGATGCAAAGGTTTTACAATGGAAGTCATCTATAGAAGACACCAGAAATTGCCTACAATTTTTGAATGAAGTCATTGAAAAACAGAAACCCGTTCTTGAAGACGACTCCATGGATTTGGAATCAGTGTTCGACATGCGAGAAGAAATTGTGAAAAAATACCAATCTTACCATCCAAATGTCTACAATAAAGTGGTGGACTCTTTAAGGGTGAATGAAGAGAACGAACATAATATGGCATTATGCAGTACTCGACAAAATTTCAGTGAAGAAGCATTGCGATATGAGATTTCTGTCCTTGAAAATGAAAACGTACCACTTTACAAGTAAGAATTATTGAACATTTTTCACTCGACCTTGGGACAGCAATTGTTTTGTTAAAATGTTTGAACGTTTACACGAAAAGTTTTGTCGTAACATAAAAACTGGCCTTGACAACATAGTGCCACTGCCTTGACAACATGCACCGCGCAACGATAAAACTTTTCGTTCAAACATACCGACAAAACAATTGGCGTTCCAAGATCGAATGAAAATCGCAATATTGTATTTACATTGAAAATGAAAATTGTGGCAAATTTTACTATACGTACATAGTGTTTTGGATGTTCTATAAAAAAGAATTATGACAGCCTGGCAAAATCAAGTGTCCTATTTTTTGCGATTCTTTGTATAATAATGTTAACAATAGACAATCCAAAATACGTTCATGTTTTCTCAAACTTAAAATGTTTTACAGTTTATTCCATGGAATTGTTGGTGATAATGTTGATATGGAAATTGCTGCTAGAATTGAGAGAAAAGAAAGGGGTAATCAATCTTTGCACTGGACTCATCAATGCGCTGTATTGGACAGGGCGTCTCCCGTTGGCGACAACAGGAAACAACCCCGAAGTGACATGACACAGCTTATCGATTTGTTGCCACACAGTCAAGTGCAAGAAAACCTGATAAGTACAATGGCAGTTCTTGTCAGCAGAGTGGTAACAAAATACCTCTAATGTTTCCATCCATTTCAAGACGTGGTTGTGTGGAACATTCCGCACAAATACTCAAAGGAAATGTCAGAAAAATCAGAGTCCGTTTCAGATAAATATGAAAAGAAAATATACAACATGATTTTTTATACACTGCCAAATGTCAACTGTAATAATTTCGGCGGTGTAAGAAATGTTAAGACATGTCAAAAAATCATAAGGCATGCAATTCACAAATTTTTGGCATAAGCAATTTTTTTGAATGACTGTGCAATGTTTTGTTAATTGTTATTTTTTATATGCATAAACTGAAGTATAGCGAAATTTTAAGGGTAGTATTAAAAGCCTTGTCCCAAGCTACAGTAGTAACCACAGGTATGGGGGCCATTTGACATTATGAAGGTCATAGCTCACAAACACTATGAAGCGTACTCACTGCAAATCAACCTCATGTAATGCAGGTTCGAGTAGAGTGATTCACACTGCTGTTCAATTCTAGCATGCTATTTAAATTGCAACATTAAGGTGACAGGAGAGAAATCCTTGAACAAATAATTTTTCCTTCTGTCAGCCCTAGACATCATAGATATGAAGGTGTTGAAAGGGGCAAACTGTTAATATTTAACTTTTATTTTATAGTGTTGACTTGGGGTAGAGTTCTTCAACCCTAATGTTGCAGGGGAAATGGCACAGCTGATGCAGGGTAACCAGTCAAAGTATGTCCCACTATCTCTGGACAAGACAACTATTCTTGCAAAGATCCCACTGCATGGAGATCAGCTTTTCGAGGAGAGGGTTAGAAACGTTAAATGGACATACCGAGATGGAGAATGCAGTGTGGAGAGGCTAGATGGCCTTGAACCAGAGTGTGCAGATTGGCATGCCAAATTCACTTTGTACAAGGTACATTCCACTATATTAGAGCAGAGCTGGCCCTGTTGTGAGGTCAAATGGTCCCACGTTACACAGCCTATGCAACTGTTAAAAGTTAACTGATGTTCAATAAAATACCTTTACATCATTTACTACAGATGGAAAACAAGTTGTTTGTGAATCATGCGTCTGCTGGAGAGATCGGCACATCAGTGGCAAGCATGTACAGAACTGGCAAGAAAAATGCTGTTAAGAATGTACGCAATAACTACAATGAATATAGTGAGTTCCATGCCAGGGAGGTGGAGGCTCACATATGTGCAGCTTTCATGCAAAAGATGAGTATGCTGAAAATGAATGGTAAGTCATTATGTGAATATAAAGAATATTGCACAGAAACATACTTAATTTTCCATTTCCATGACAATCGACGCCCAGCAGATAGAGAATGTGTAAGCCACTGTACATACTCATTAGGTGGGGAGTTGCAAGTGCCGGTTGTTGTTAAATATATTTTTTACTTTAATTATGTTATAGATAAACCCAATGTTGTACTACCAGATGATTCAGTTTCAAAGTCTATTAAAGGGAAGTGGCTACTTGATATGTGCAGTGATTTTGTATGTGTTTCAGTCAGAGAAAGTTCTTGATATTGTAAACAAGACAGCTGAGCTAGATGAAAAGATAAAATCACCATTTGCATGTAGGGCAGATGGTTGCAACAAGTCCTATCTGTCTCATTCTGCCAGAGTCAGGTGGGTCTATCTTTCCATTATAGTTCAAACTGTGTGTTAGAACTAACTAATAAGTTCACAATACAGTTACATCCAGGCAACTGGCATTGGATTATACCCTGTGAGGCAGAGGTTTATAAAGCTCCCAAAGGCTAACAACCCTTATAATATTCATAAGCTATCGAGGTGGAGACTGTATGTCAATTAGATGCTTAACATTTTCCTAATATTTGAAATTTTCTTAGTATCCAGTTTGGGATATAAGTCATTCACAGTTTGGTATTCAAAACCAAATTATAGTATCCTTTGAATTGGAGATACTGCAAATTTTAGACCATGGTAAATAATTAGATCATTAAATACTACCAGGATCATTTACTGAATGAACATGCTTGTGAAAAGTTTCAATTTTTCTTATTTTATTAGACATGAAATTGGCAAGCACAAACTTGTCATTGCAAGATTTGAAGAAATAAATGATGAGCGAGATCATATGGGATATTATTTCTGTCGATGTGGCTGCGCTTTCGTTTTTAGTACTCGAGCAACAAGGAATAGGTTTGTAAAATACTATAATTTTGAAATACTATTTATTTTGGACACAAACATCCCATTGAGTGGCAACACACTCTCCTAAAACTGTCCGGCATCGTGTACTAGTTAGGGGATTGTAGATGTATATTATTTATTAAATAGCTAAATAACAACTGCAACAAATGAGGTCCCATCCTATTAAGATTAAAAATATACTGTATATTGGACTATAAATTTCCCATTTTTCTTCAGGCATGAGAAAACAATCCACCACGCAACAGGGTGTGAATATCCTGAGATGACACCAGATGCCCAAACCACCCACCCAGACTACATATTCAACTACCATCAAGCAAAATTGGCCCTTGGCTTATTCTTATTGGAACTAGCCGAATGTATAAAAGAAGGAGATGGTGAACGTCTCTATGAAGTCTACAAACTGGCTCTTCTGCTATTTAAGAGCAGAGGCCACACCAAGTATGCTTATAAAGTTCTGCTGTATCTTGCTAAGATCAATTTTCTTCTTTCGCATGAAGAAACTTTCACTTTGAAATGGAACCGGTTTTACAACCACCATGGTGGGAAAGGAAAAAAATCCCTCTTGATCTTAGGAAAGAACAACGAGTAATTGAGAATACAGGAAACTGTGTTAGAATGTCGTTAACAGTGAATATTCTATAGCTGTTGTCAATTATATCAGAAATCAGTTGGTCAGAAAAACCATGGGTGGAAACCATGTCAAATACTGCAGCTCCACCAGTATTTATTTGAGATACAAGTTCTTGAAGGGCATCTCTAAGGTCATCCTTTTCCTGATCACTTACGGATCTGGTCAGTCCACCTTGAGATGTTGCACATGAATGTTCTGTAAACATTTTGTCAAAAGGAAATGAAACAGGGCATCCTTCCTCAATTCATTGACATGACTGACAACAATAATTACAACAATCATGCTTGACAGCACCAGGCTGAATTGATGGATCGAAAGGAACGTATGCAGCCAAACGATAACAACCTGTTGTATTGACAAACTCTTTAACATCTTTGTCACAATGGGTTACTTGCTGACCGTGGTAAATAATAACTATGTGAGCAGAACTGCCATTACGACCAGCTCTTCTTCCCTCTTGTAACTGATCCAAAAGATTTCTGGCATGTCCCCAATTAATAACATACTTAATGTCGGGAAAATTAACTCCCATACCAAGGGCAGATGATGCCACAACAACTCTCTTATTCCCTGTACCTTTAAGTTGACTAAATAGTCTTTCCTTTTATTTTTTAAACAAGTTAGAGTGATAGATCCCAATTATCCTACACTCAGGTTCTCTTGATTCAGGAGGATTGTTTGCATTTGCTCCAAGTTGTAACATTAAATGGTTGAATGCTGCAGCAACATCATTTAATGTGTTACAAAGAATAAGTGTCTTCGGACAACACGCACCATTGTCCTTTATCAGTTTTATCAGCCATGATAACTGATAGAACATTTCACCTTTAGTCACTTTTCTTACACTGAACCTTATGTTCTTCCTCTCAGAGCTAACAAAGACACAATCAGGATTCTTTAACAACAGATCTGATTTAATTACATTTAATGTACTCTTGTCAGCTGTGCCAGTAAGGGCCAAGAAAGGAGTTCCTTTTTAAGAAACAAATAAAAACAGAGACTAAGCCATTGCACGGTGCTGGAACTTAGCACTTACCAGATTGCTCGATGAGTTCTGCTCACATAGTTATTATTTACCCCCACTGTGACAAAGATGTTAAAGAGTTTGTAAATACAATATATAGGTATAAAAAAGGGATCTAAAGCCATAAGACAAAACTTCCAGAGGCTCATTTATATTGTATTAACTAGTAAGTGCAGTACTGCAGTATTAACATTGATTATTAACAATTGGTCAACTCATTTGTCAAGGTTATCTGTTGAGGAAAAAATTGCAACTTTTTTCCAAACAGATAATCTAGCTTATACACAAATTAGTTAACCAGTTTTAACTTTATTATGGGCCATTATGAGCTATTTTACGAAGGGGAATCAAAGAACACCTGTTTCGGTGAGAAATATATGCCCACGGTATTATAACAAAACAATGCCATTACATGTGACTAAAATTAGTAAATGAGACAAATATATACCTTCTTTGCAAAGTGATCTTAGCATTACCAAATCTCCAAATCGCCCTCGGAAGGCTTGTCTGGTCTTTTCTCCTCTTGCCCCTGATTTCCTAATAAAATGTACAATGATATAAAAGTAAACTCTAGCAATGTAATAATCGACAAATTATGAAAATAGTTCTCTGTTATTTTATATTTGTATATTTATATATATAACGCGAATGGTCAAGATTGAAAGTGTACAGTATAATTATAAAGCATTTACTATAAGATAAATATTGTCAATACCTTTTTCCTGTCCAGGTTTCGATTGTGTGGCATTCATCAATAACTACTGCAGCCATGTTGTTGTGGAAATGTCCATTTTCATTCTTTAGGCATGCATCTATAAATCCTTGTTCAAGTGCACATTCTGGGAATGAATAAATGACTTGAAATTTACCATCATTTACGTCTTCAAAGTTGGCTTCTGGCAAAGACGACGCTGAAATGCCTAGGTCTGCCGCTTCTCGTATCTGATCTTCCATTAAACTTCGCAGTGGACAAATAACTAGCATTGTTCCGTCACGTTTTTCTTCGTCTTGCCTCATAAACTTCTCCGTCGCCAACAGAGCCAAAAGCTGAAAGATGAGACTTTTTCCAAAACCTGTTGGAAGAATGCCAACAACATCCCGACGTTCAAATAAACTTCTTAAAGCTCGCTTTTGTTCATCTTTTAATTGAAAAAATAGCCGCGATGTTCAAGATTTTCTAGCACAGTTGACAAGCAACTCTCGAAACTACATGAAGCCATATTGAAATCAACAAATACTACGGTTTTCCACTGCCTTGGTATTGACCAATCAGGTGATCGTATTCACCGTTCAGAATCTGAACGACGTGTAGTCATGAAAGGTGATCTTTCCTGCAGGCCCTCTTTCCTCCCCCGGAGCCCGCCAGAATAATTGAGGGCCTGCCACGCAGCCTAAGAAAGACGGAGCTTAATATCATTGAAAGTGTGAAAGCTTCCAAAGAACTTCTCATCTTTCATAGACGTTAAGCTCCTCCTTTCTTGGCCGTATAACAGCTGCATCTGTAATTTTACACTATTATTAATCCTGAGGATGACTACAAACTAGTCGAAACGTCGATTTAAAAATCAAAATGTTATTCACAGTTACTGTTATTTTGTATAGTTTCAGTTTCACGTACATCCAACAACAACTTCAACTGACGTTTCGTTCTCAACTTCAACAAGACTTTAAACACCGTCACGACATGTGTCGTTTCCACTGTTTCTTTCATTAACATCCTTAAGAATTTGCATGTTTTGCTGTAATTCTGTGTTGCTTATCTGAGCGCCATCTTTGAAACACGTGACATTGACATGACCAGGAATGTTGCCACCTTGACCTTGACAGAGACACGTGACATTCTCGCCTTCATTTACTACAATAGGACTGGGACAGACAGACACGGTTGGTTTTCCTGAAATGCAATGAAATACTGTAAAATTTTATCAACTAAAGCTAAATGTCATTAGTCTAGGAAACATCTTCTGAGATACGAAACAATTTTGTGGAAATATATTTCTGAGACCAGGAACATAGGGACCTGAGATGGAAGTTTCCCATATACTGTAGCATAGTACTCTGTAGTATTTCGCTGTTTTTCTCTCTTTATTCTTCCAGAAATCTTCCCCTGTCTATACACCCTCTCAACCTAGTGTCCTCTCTTCTCGTGTACTCGATCATTTGACAATTTGGTCACATGACAGGTACACTACATCCCATGCACACCGGGTAGATTGAGCGGGCCGTTAAGAAACTATGCCCACTACTACCCGATACGTTTTGATATGTGGAATTATAATTAAACATTTTGTTTAAAGTGCTTGAGTCTCAGATGTTTTATATGTTTAAAAGATTGACTGATATTTAACTGTACCTACGACAAAAAGAGTAACGAAAGATCTATCAATGCGATTTAATTCTTGTTATTATATACATGACAAAATTACTGCAATCTGATTGGTTAAGAGGAGTGCAACTATCTCATTAATTGCGCTCTCCAAGAGTGCAATTAATGATTTTCGTGATGGCTGGGGGGAGCGGGAAATCAAAATAACAAAATCCAATATGGCGGCGAAATTTAGATAAGTATTTCTAACAAGTGTGGACGAATTTAACTGAATTTTGGCACAAGAGTGAGTTTAAGAAACATTGTATGGCAAAATGAGCCTGTGGAAAATACCTGGAAACAGTCTTAAGAAACAATCTTGGCGGGATGCAGCGAAACGTGATTATGTAAGTTTGAAATACAATTCATAAAGATTTTCTTAGTCTAAAATATGTTGTTTGAGCTTGAATCTTGTGTTCTAGTTTAACTTAAGTTATGTGCCTTTATGAGTTTATAATCATTTCCCAAGTTTGTTTATACCAAATTGCTTACAAAAGAATTAAAAACTCTTGACAAAATGCAGTTGAAATATAAAGAAAGCGATTTTGTCATGTATATAATAAATAAATAATCACACGGGCAAGTTGTGCAATTAATGATTAACACCACTCGTGATATTTGAGAAATGTGCCAAATTGCACTCGCCTCGGCGGCTCGTGCAATTTTGGCTCATTTTTCAAATATCACTCGTAGTGTTAATCATTAATTGCACTCCTTCCCGTGTGATTACCTATACTAATAAAATTCCATACGTTCCAGTATAGTCGAGATCAATTTTCTTCAAGAGCAATGTTGCTGGTTTTACTATCTCAAACCTAGACAAGCTAGTCCCATTTAATATTGTGGGGTCTTGATCATCAACATGTATAAAGGCAAGTCTTTTAAAGTTTGAAGCGCCTGTTTTCTTGAACCACCATATCCGCAAAATCACTTGAGATATATCGTTATCAAATGTCCACGCAATTTCCACATCTGATCCTTTCACCACAACCATAGTTTCGCCACCGGGTGGGATGAACATTTTTCCTGAATAAGTTTAAAAAAAGGCATTAATAGTTCAGGATAAAAAGAGAATGGAATTTACAACTGTGTCCAGGTTTGATCATGTGATAAAAAATCATGTTTCAGTTAATTTACAGAAACTTTAACATTGATTTTCTCGGCTTACGCAAAGTTGATTTTAGAAACTAGAAATACATACAACTCTTTACTAGCATAGTACTATGTATATATAACGATAATAATATTTATTTCCAAATACTTATATACAAAGTTATGTAACACATGTCACATGATTAATTACGTAATTAACATCCTTTCTGTTATAGGGGCATCGGTGGCGAAGTGGTTAGCGCGCTTGGTTTTCACCTCTAAGATCACAAGTTCAAGTCTCAATAAATTTCGCAATGTGACTCGAACCTAGTCCTCATGTGAAAAGAGTAAAAAGTCAACGCTCTGCTGAAAGTCGTGGGTTTTCTCCGGGTACTCCGGCGGTTTCCTCCCACAGGGAAAGTTGACAGGGTGGGTTAGTGGGAAGATCACTAACGAGGTATGGACTAATAGCGGCCGGCTGCTTAATTAAAGCGCCATTTGTAAGCTCACAGTCTACCTCGGTCAGTTCCAGCTGTAATTGTAATGCGTACTTGATTATATATATATATATATATATATATATATATATATATATATATATATATATATATATATATATATATATATATATATATATATAATCGCCCAATAGAAATATTAAATATTAAAAGCTAGATAATGGATATAAATGTAACTTATTGTTCTGATTCCATTTTTAAAAAAATATAAAGTTAATGAATAGGATGATAATAATCGTTCACAATTTATTCAGTTCATGGTGTAGCCTTTGAAGTAATTGGATTTCTTTCTCACTCGTCTTGGTCTACTTGACTCTTGTGCCATCGGATGCTCTTCCTCTTTGTGCTTATTTTCATTGTCACCCGTCGCTGCATCGTTGGCAATCATTGTTAAGCCGGTTTTCATTAGATGGAATTTTGCGCGCGGAGTGGAATTTTTCTTTGTCCTGTGATTTCTCGGGTGGAACTAATTAGAAAAGACAAAGAAAAATTCCGCTCCGCGCGCAAAATTCCGCCTAGTGGAAAACCGGCTTAACTCGTTGCTCATCGTTGTTACTCGTAACACTGTCACTTCTCGTATTTCTGGCTGGATTTCTGGCGTGCTGCTGTCCACCAATCTCTGGTCTCCCCTCAGTCGGGTGTTCAGTTTTTCCGCCGTCTTCTTAATATCAATTCTGTTTCGTCGGAAACTCCCCCTATCAGTTTATACCTCGTATGACCGTTCAATATATTTTCGTTTAACTTTTGTTCGATCCCATGATTTTTGTCCAAGTCTAAGTATAGCCGCATTCTCACAGTATCTCCCTCTTCCACAGGCAAAATAATTTTAGTAATAATCCGCTCGTTTGTTGTTTGGTGTAGTAATAGTGTCAAATTCTTTTGAACTGCCATAAATTCTACGGAATGTCATTTTTCTGATTTCTTATTGTAATATGGCATGTTCCCTTTGGCTTTAATTCTATCTTGTTGCACATCTGTAAAGTTCTATCGGTCCGTTCGATGTTTTCACCCGCTAAATGCTTCATTGGTGACACGCTTACCGTTGCCCTGCATGCAATCGACAAGAAAATTAATTGGGTTGCCTCTCACGATCATTTTAGCATATACAAATCGAGCTTATCTTATCTGGATTCACATGCAGTCACGCTGTTGATGTACTCGGAGTTGGAGCTCAAGTCTGCTTCTTTCGCTTGGTTCGTAGTGTCTCTCCTGCGTTGTCTGCATTGTTTTGCGAAATGATTCCGCTTTCCACACGAATTACACGTCTCACCCCAGCGTAGTCCCAGGCTCTCTTTTTTTATTCGCTGCTTTGATATATTTAAATAAGTCTTAAAAGTTTTATGCCTGGGTGTGCTGTGCGAAACGCTTCAGCGAGAGAGCCTAGCAGATTTCGGTGAAATGGTCCCTGATTTCAAAAAAGTGGTCCCTGGCCTGGTTACCAAGCATACCACATTTGTAAATAGAAAATGTTATGGAAATTTCCTTTGCGTTTATAATTAAGTCATTAGTTAATTCGCTCTAATGCTGTCGGAACAATGAAATAGGCTACGTTTCGCTACCACACGGTCAGAATGGAATAACGGGCTAAATATGACTCGTGTTTACTAAAATATAAAGCCATATTAACTGTTATCTAGAAGTTTGAAAATTATGCCGAGTCTTTGACTAAAAATGTTTTGAGAACACAGTCATGTCAGGCAAATATTTCCAATCTCCTCAGCTACTTAAACCTGTCAAGTAGAAAGCGTAGTTGTGAATACCAGTATGGTCGATCTAGTGTTGATCACAACTTGCGAGTATTTAAATAACATCAACGATTATACGACCATTGCACACAGTCAGTATCGTAAATTTGTATATAAATTTTTCTAATTGAGCACATTTTTAATACAGTTTGAATTTGTTTATGTAGACATCGAACATGATCAACGAACATTGTCGACGTATTTACAAGGTTATTTGTATATATAACTTTTCCGCCATATTAAAAATACTGAAATCTGCTAGGCGTTCTGAAGCACCTTTAGCGGTGACGTCACACCTAGGTCCCAGTCTCGTACTACATTTACTTTTTTCTCGCGCTTGCTTCAGAACGACTGGGACTAGGCTGGTCTCACCCCACGCTGAACACGATTCTCGTCTCAACTTGTGCTTTCTTCCACAATATCCACACGCACGATTTGCATTGTGTCGAATTTTGTTTGAGTTCGCTAATCTTTGCTTTGTTCCGTGCTCCGCCTTCCTTCGGTCTCGATTTGGTTGATTGCACTTTGTTTACTTCCTCTAATTTATTCTGTTAGCCTGTCTGTCTTATCTGCGAATTGGTCAGGGACGGATCCAGGGGGTGGCAATTCTCTAACCTGGTTTATATAAGGACGTAGCGATCGTTATTTATACATATAAACGCGTCTCAAACCTTTTAAATTTAAACAAATATATACTCCCATTGTTACATCTTACATCTTACTGTTATTTGATTTTCAACAAAATCGCGAATTAAAAACGTGAATATCTCAAAAGATGTAATTCCTGAGCTGTAAAAGGTTAAAAACCTATGGAAAAAACCCCAAGGTTGGAGATGATTTAATAATTGATTGTTGGTAGTTCCACATTAGAACCATGCACTCTGTTGAAATAAAAGTTTCTGAAGAAGGATGTTCTGCATATATTGTTCTACGGTGTGGGCTAATACTTCATCGAAAAATCTAAAGAAATTGCAAACAGTCCAGAATTTCGCATGCCGAATTATCATGAGTATTAAAAAATTTGACCATGTAACACCAGGTCTTCAAGAATTTAACTGCCTATCTATTGAAAACTTACTTATTTACAAAGACACGGTAATGGCTTATAAATATCTGAACAACCTTGCGCTAAGTTATCTTGCAAATAAATTCATAAAGCGATCTGATATTCATAATGGCCAGACTAGAAATAATTACTGTAACAGTTTAAATATTCCAAGCTATAAAACTGCTGCAGGGCAGAGAACATTTCACTATCGCGCAGTTAAGATACGGAACGATATTGATGGTGAACTGAAAAAGATTCCAGAACTCCAGGTGTTTAGAAAAAAACAAAAAGAACACCTTTTAAATTTTTAGTATCATATATTTGAAGGTTTTAATAGACAATCGTAACTTAGAACTTGTATGTAGAAAATCCCTTTGGGGAATATACAAAGTTTAATAATAATAATAATAATAATAACTTACCTTCTCATGGATATTGCAAAAAATGAAGACAAGACAGTATAAGAAGTTTCAACGGAAAAGCAGGCATTGAGGCATCAGTTCTATGGTAAGGTAACAGAACCTACATGTATAAATGATAGGAGTTCTAGGTTTGCAAGAACATAGTTTAAAAACGAGCAGGAGTTGTGAGAAAGCTGTGAATTGATAGGGATGTAACCAGCTGAAAAATAGAAGGAAAACTTCGAGGTTTCGAATGCCCTTGTTGGCTAGTAACTTCCCAACTAAAATTCAAAACCATAAAGATATATTATACCCACATGTATATTCAAAGTTCCTCTTTATCAGTGAAAAGCTGTGTAATTAGTATGTAATGTAGAGTATCAATGAAAACCGACACCCGCTGGGCAGTGGGTAGACTAGTTTTTTCGCCAGCTGAAAGTTTTTCGTGATTTCGATTTATTTTATTTGTCAAGTGAAATATATTTATCCATGCGTTTGACTCTTGTCACAATATATTGGCTTGCTGATTCTTATAATTGGCTTACTGATCTGTTCTCGAATTCATGTCGAGATGAACACAAAATTTATTAACAGTGTCTCCAAAAGCTGGCTTTTGGTCAGCGCATTTTAAGCCAAGTTCTTTACTGTTCTGTCCTACTGGAAGTTTTAAAGCAATGCAGATTGTGTGCACTGGGTACCACGTTATTGTTCTCACGTGATCACCTGTTGCGTTTTACCGATCGAGAAATAAAATCTCAACGATTTCCAAAACTAGCTTTCGGAAAACAGACGAAAAACAACCGAACATTAACTGAAGCTAGAAGAATAAAGAAAACATTACGACACTAATATAACTAGGAAGTCACACGCAAAAGAAGTGGCTCTTCAAATATTAATTTACACTAAAATTGTTTTAGTCGCACATTATATGTAGCTTCTAAATTAAGTAAACTAAAGTTGCTGCAAATGTTACTTGCTTACTGAGATAGCAGGTGTAAAATGTTGAATTGGATCCTGAAACATAAACCACATTCCTGATCGAGATTAGCCTTAACGTTTGTACTAGTTTCTATTTCCTGGTGTGATATTTGTATCGAGTGTAAGTCTTCCGGTGGTGTAAAAACAAACATGACTTCATTGTCTCGTGGTTCAAGGTTTCGTACCGTTGTGAATGTAATTAAAAGGCTATTTCAAAATCAAACCAGCTAGTTGATAGAAATGACAATCGCGGTTGAAAATTTGGTGCTTGTATGCCTTTTTTAAGAAGGGGATAACATATGCAAAGGGGATAACATATGCAGGCAAGATATGCAGAATTTCATGGCTGATAATACAAGAATCACTCAGTTCCTTTCACTACGACACTGCATGGCGTATCTTGTGAATATACTTGACTCACTGTCATACGGTTTCAATAGACAAATGGCCTCGTTTCCATGTTAACTTATTTTAGCGTGTCAGAGGCAGATAAAGATTATATTCCAATGTTTTCCTGGAAGAATTTGTTTCTTGCTGTTCCTAGGCTCAATAACAAAGTAATTTTCAACCCTACTAAGCACAAAACACGAGTAAGTATTTGACACGAAAATGAGGCCATTGGGCAAAAGAGAGTAATCAGTAAGGTCTATTATTCGTCTTTTGGCATGGATCATATTTTCATTTTTCTTATCTTGCAGTAACAATACGAAGGGACGGATGCGAGGCTAAAATTTGGATATGAGGGGATTTTAGCGATTGAACAATAGTGTCGAGACGAGAATAGCATTGCATAGTTAATCACACTTACTACCAATGGCGAAAAGGTGAACAGAGATGGGGATGCTTATCTTCACGTCCATGTCAATAGGCAATTCCAGCTTTTAGTTTATGCGTTAGGGGAGATGGGAAGTAAGGTATCCTATTGCCAGTTATGCTTAAAAATTAAAATGGGGCCGTGTAAATACAGAGTGATAGCTTGTACTTGTAAACGTTGAAATATTTCGTTTGTTTCGGTAGTTTTTATTGAAATTTTTCGGCATCAGCAGAAATATGATACCTTACTTTCCACAAATAAAAAGCTGGAATTGCCCATTGTATTTGCTCAAATTTATCTACAGCCAAATATGCATGGTAATTGTTCCACATACGGTAGCATTGTTGCTTGCCGCACAACACACCCTATAATCCTGATAATTTATAGTTTCTGTATTTAATGTTAAAAATAACACTCACTGATAATGCACTTTATTAGAAACATATTTATTTACATTTTGGTTTTGTTGAAAATTCCTCGGTTGTATATCTCATGTAATAGCAGTTGTACCACATTGAAGAGTACCAAAACCGCGGGTACATCCTCTCGCCGGAAAATATTTACGTGTCAAAAGATTCAGAAATGTAATTACATTCCTACGCCTATGCCTGTTACCGTTAAAGTGTAAAACCATTATTAACAAATCTCATGGTTAAATGCTATACCGGTTGAAGAACAAGGTTTGACCCTCAACAAAGAAGAATTTAAGGATTCGATAAGAATGCGGTATGGCATGCCATTGCCCGACTTGCCAAGTCATTGCGTTTGTGGGTCTGCATTTTCCGTCAACCACGCATTATCGTGTAAAAGAGGAGGTTTTGTGGCCCGAAGGCATGACGGTGTTCGTGATTTACTGACCACTCTGCTCAGCAGAGTATGCAACAACGTGGAAGCCGAACCAAAAATCATGCCATTGGACAATGAACAATTCCGTTTACAGTCCACCAACAGAAGCCCGGATGCGCGATTGGATATCAAAGCTGGCGAGTTTTGGGCAAGAGGAGTTACATCATTTTTTGACGTCCGTGTATCGCATGTAAACTCCCAATGTCATCAAAACAAAGCCACATCTGATATCTTTAAGGAACAAGAAGCCGAGAAGAAAAGAAAGTACCAACAGAGAATCTTAGACGTGGAAATGGGAACATTTACGCCTTTAGTCTTTGGAACGAATGGAGGAGTTGGAGACGAATGCCAGAAATTCTTAAAGCATCTTGCCGAGAAATTGTCGAGGAAAAACGGAGAAGATTACGCAACAGTTATTACCTGGATCAGAACAAGATTGTCTTTCGAAATATTGAAATCGGTGCATTTGTGCAGGAGAGGATGTAGATCGCCATTTCGTGCGAAAGATGAACATATAGACGAGTTCAAATTAAACTCTGTTACAGCAGAGGTTTTTTAAGCAATTGCGCAATTTAAAGGCGTTAACGCTGGACTTGTACATTTTATGAATTACGTTCCAATTTATGAATTATCAAGAACTATTTTTAGATCTTTTAACTGCAATGAGTTTTAAATGTAAAATGTTCCGAAATTAACTTTTTCTTTTGTATTATTAGATGTTATACTGTAAAATTCTACAATATTGTTAAAAATTATTAAAATTGATATTTACGTTAACAAATCTCAGAATAATTTCTCGCTGATCAATGAGACGTTGCTATTCCCAAGAGATCGATTTCACAACGTTAGGATGTGGTTGCAATTCTTGTATGTTTTGATGCGAAAATAATATAACACTAGTACTTTTATAGCCGATTTGTGAGTTATATAAATGTATCTCCGGCCAATAATAAAGATTAGTTTACGATGTCTTCTTTACAATTATATTGCAATAATATTATATGCTTTGACATTGGTTGAAGCAATAACATTTTACTCTCGCATCTGTCCGTCCGTCTATACGTCCGCATCCGCGTTTTATCCTAATCCTTGAAAATAAGCTATTTGTTTACCAATACCAGACCCCTGATCGTGCGCGGTCTCTGTGTTTTTGACTTTGCCGATTTCATTAATTCATTTATAAAGAAAGACGACATTGTCAGCTGCCAACCTCTGCTTGTCGTAATCGACCCCCAAATAACATATTCAAAACATTAACCTGGGTATAAAAATAGTAATAAATATTAATTGAAATGTTCCAATTGAGGACTAGAGAATCTGTAGCAACTTTAGTAGGACTTAACTTTAGTTATTAACTTGTATCATGCATAGTGTGTGTTATAATTATGGTAGGCAGATTCAATTGGAGCTACGTTCTGTTTGCTCGCCTATCATCTTTTGTAATTTGTTTTGATGATGAAGTTAATTAAACTAAACTAACTAAACTATAATGTTCGCGAGCGACTGGCTCTGGCTCAGATAGGCAACCACATTCTATTTGCATGCACGATGTTAATTAATTAATTAATTAATTAATTAATTAAATCATTACATTACTCTGTAACCTATTTTTCCCAACCAATTTATATCGCTCCTTAATCTTCTTTTCAAACTTTTCTGCGAAACATGGCTCGCATTCAGTGTGTTTTGGGTACCTCGCTAGGCTTGCAAACCCAAATAGACCACATACTTTCTAAAGAATTTCAATACTGCGTCCACATATGTAATTATAATCACCTATTATTGCAAGCTTGTGGGGAGTACAGACATCCTGTCGTGCGAATTGACATTTTTGCCGCCCCTTTTCTGAACAAAGAAAATTATATGCTTAACTACAGACCTTCGCTCAAAAGGTCGAAATTCTTTTTATATATTCTAGGTAGTTACATCCCTACCAACGAAAGCTTGTTCTTTTATTATCAAGCCTGTCAGTTTAAAGAAAATTCGGCCACGTTGTTGCTGCCAAGCGTAGCGAGGCCGCTCCCTATTCTTAACGTTACATGACGTTCTTGCTTTTTCGTGCCCAGTCCCCCGGCCGAGTTATATTGGGGAAACAGTACTGAATCCATGTCATTCGGTCGGTCGGATGTAAAGATTTTTCGGAAATTGTCGTCAGCTCGAGCATTCGACGACTCTTTGTTTTTATTCGATTTTGATTCGATTTTGACTCGATTTAATTTATTTTGTATTGCGCTCGCATGATTCTTGTCAGGATTACAGTTTTAATACGAGGTTATCCACATGCAGTATGTTGTATTGTATTGCGCTTGCATGATTCTTCTCACCGGATTACAGTTTTAATAATACGAGCTTATTTACATGCAGTATGTTGGATTTTCACGATGCAAGCGATCGACAATAATTTGAATAATTCCGGTCCTTAAAGCTTTATTTCTTTCTGTTGATATACATGAAGGCATTTATATTTAGATTTGCTGTTTAGCAAACCAATATGATTTCATGAATTTGCAGTTCTAATAGCCCACTGATTATCTTTATATATTTACAAGGAGTCAAGATGTACTTTTAGGTGTGTGGCGATATTTTGAATAATTCCGGTAAGGATAGCTTTATTTATTTCTGGTGATATACAGTACATGAAGGCATTTATTTTTAGATTTGCTGTTCAAATTTTCACCTGCTCACAATTTCTTTCTGCAATCTGAAGCTGACAAAAATGTCAACAAATAGATTTTGTCTCCTCATCGGCAGATTGCTCAGTTGTTCTGTGATAGGGGTAGCCTTGAAAGTGCCATTAAAACAATTACGCGATTCGACAACGCGACGTGATTTTTCAGTTTTTGAGAGCAAATTTTGACCATATAACTCCAAATGTTATAGCCCTTCTAAATATTTGGAAAATTTCAACTAGAATCAAAGTTATCGGTCAGTGAAAATCGAAAAATCGCGTCGCGTTGTCGAATCGCATCCGGTGTGTCGGGACCTTTAGACTATTATTCGCGCAGCTTTAAATTCGGGCAAGAAATTTTCCTCGTTCGTTCGTTCTTTCTGGTTTGTTTATTAAATTAATAGAAATATTAACAATTAGCGCATTTATAATGATCGTTGCAAACTTTGACGTCAATGTTTGAGGATCAGAGGATCTATGGCAAAATTCGTATTCGCAGGTATTCATGGCGGAATGCTACGTGGAATCGGAGAATATCCCGACTGAAATTGCCCAGGAGGAGGACATTTTTTATTTTTAATGTAGACGGGACAAATTAAATTATATGATATGTCAAATGTGCATATATGCGTTAATAAATCAACTGATTTGCATTACTAACAACCGGTGTCTCATAGGCATCACAAAGCTTTTCGCGCGGATTATATTGCGGCGCACAGAAGGCTACTAAAATTCGCGCACCCAGCGCTGCCCGAATTCTAGTACTGCGCGAATTTTAATACAAGTAAGGTATATGAAATTGTTATTACACTAAACTCTAATGATTCATTCAAGAGTTATCATTGTTGATATGTATGACGTTGTACAGTATTCAGTGGCAAGCTAGCCATGGCAACTGGTCATGTTATGCTAATAAACCTAGCATGACTTAATAATAGCATGACTTAATAATAGCATGACTTAATAATAATAGTTTTTGTTTGTGGAAACACCACGTAAATTTATAAAATATAAATTTATAAATTTATTATTATTTTTATTTATTTATTTTATTTATTTATCTATTTTAATTTATATTTTTTAATTTACGTGGTGTCTCCACAAACAAAACTATTATATAGTATGACTTGTTGCTATGACTAGCTTCACCACTGACAGTATTATAATTATACATTCAAGAGAAAGACGTTATAAGCATTGAAGGTATTCATATAAAACCCCCTATGCCAAGAAAGTAGAATTAGAATATTTAGCTGACATTCGACTTTTCGGTCTATACCTGGATATCTGAACAGGCGTATTAGCAATCTCGTACCCAGAGTATGCCCGTTCGTAAGTTAGGTCATGCTCAGCACCTAACCTGCGAACTGGCATACCTCTAGGCTGTATACATGATGGAAGGTGGGATGATTTTGATGTATTGAAAAACTCACTAGGCTAAACAACATGTAGTTCCGAGAAGATTTTTATAGTTTTTTGAACAACCTTTCGTTTACATGCAGTTAACTATAATTAATCCATCTCTACACAGCCAGAAATCTCACAGGCCTGTCGCAAGCTGTTGATTTTACCGGCTTGCGGCAAGTTGTCAACAAGTCGCGACAGGTCTGTTGGTTTCGTCAGGCGGTAACATGCTTGCGGTAACAGGTCTGTCGCAAGCTGTTGACAACAGAGCCGTAGCGACTTGTTTAAACAACCCGCTACAAGCCTGTTACTAACAAGAGATAACAGGTCTGATAGAACAACTTGCAGCAAGTCTGTTGAAATCAACAGGTCTGTTACGACCTGTTCCAACAGACCTGTCGCGAGTTGTTTTTGTCAAGTCTGCAGCAAGCTTGTTATCAGAGCTGCGACAAACCTGTCCACAACAAACAATTTTTGTCCTGTCACAACAAGTTTCAACAAGCCTGTTGTTGGGAAACAAACCGAAAGTGTGAGTAAAGAGATATAAAATCGCACGAAATGGACACTTCCGGCCTCACTTTCTCATTTAATCATTGTCATTGGTGGCAATATTAAATCACATAGGAGAGATTATAGTCCATAGTATCTATTCTCTGATTATTATAAAATGCAAAAGCCGCTGTTTTATTTTTTTTTAAAAAGTTCCGATTTCCAAAATCCAAATTCCAATTTGCTGACGTGTGCTATCGCTATATTTCCTTAATCTGATTGGATAAACGCGTGTGCACACGTCATCATTCCTCGTTGCGATTGGGCGAAATATTACAAACATATCAATCACATAATCATGTTTAGTTGTTTTTCAACAAAATTTCAACAACTGCTTCAAACAAAATCAAACAAGTTCAAAACTGTTTTGATTTTTGAAGAAACTGTGGCAATGAGAATACAAAGATCTAGAGCTTAAGAAATGAACAATACATGAACAACCGAGTGTTCACTGCAACGTTCGTCATTGTTGATATGAACATGAAATACGTTATATAATTTCTTTCCAATTTCAAGTGAAATCTGCGAGCGAGGAAGACGCCTTATTGAAGCTTTGTGTTATGGTATGTACTGTTTTGAAGAAAAATATGCAAGTAGGTTGTCATATTTCGGTCGTACTTAAAGACAATTAATTTTGAAAATTGTTTACGATATTATAAAGAACCTTTCTTGAATTTGTCGTATTTTTTCGGCTGTTTTGCTCAAAAATTATCTCGCAAGTTTGTTTATAAAACTTTATATTCATATATAAAAATTATTTCGCAAGTTTGTTTATAAAACTTTATATTCTTTTTTAAAAATTATCTCGCAAGTTTGTTTATAAAACTTTATATTCATATATATAAAAATTATTTCGCAAGTTTGTTTATAAAACTTTATATTTCAAACTTCTATTTCACGAAACACTACAACCGAAATATGGCAACCTGTTTGGTCGT